ATTCTTTAGTAAAAACCTGTGAAAATGCTAAAGAGAGAGTTTTGGAAGATTCTTTGTCAGAAGAGCATAAAGTCTGGTTGGATTTTTGAAGTAGCGGAATGGAAACTTTAGATGTCATGGAGGAACGTATGTATTTATAGACTTTTTTAATGTTACCACTTTCAATAACGTTTGCTTCAAAATTTTGTCTTAGGGTTTTTAGAGATGTTTTTAAGTTATTTGAAAATCTGCGGTGGCTTTGGAAATCACTAAGAAGCCCGGTGTGTATAAATTTTCGCCATAGATGTCGTTTGTGATTGATTTGTTTAATTGCTGTTCGATTTATCCAGGGTTTGAGGTTGTTTTTATAACTCTTACGGAGAATAGTATTTGTAGAAATTATATTGTGGACTTTATCGAGAAATGCAGTCCACATTAATGACGGGTCGTTTAAGTCTGCAAAAAATAAATGCCAGTCGATTTGAGAGAGTTCAGTGTCAACTTCAGAAAAGTCGGTAGTAGCATATGTTACAATGTTATTTTTGCGAGGAATATATGTAACGTTTGCGAGGAAAAAAATCGTATAAAAGACTCTAGACTTATAAAACTGCAAAGAATGTTTCTGCAGCAGAACTAATGGAGCACAAACGTCGAGTCGAACGATTTTATTCATCATTGGCAAATTCTTAAGAATTATCAAAACAAAATGCTAACGTTTTGGGTTTGGTTTTTGACTTTATGCAAAATGTAGATTACCAAAAGTTCCTGTGCAAGAGATGTACTGCCTTCGATAGTTGACTGTGAACAATTTTTGTGTTTACAATTTAAAAACTAATAATACTCAGTTTTACTTATACCACGAAGGTCAAGCAAAAAAAGGAGCAAATTATGTAGCTTCTTTTCTTGTAGACTACATTGAAGAAAATGTTCCATATTCCGTAACTAACCTTTATTTATTTTCTGACAATTGTACGGATCAAAATAACAATCATACTTTGATTTGGGTGCTCTTAACTCTTGCTATCAACGGCCGGTTCAAAAAAAATTAAACACATATTTAATCTTAGTGGGCATTCATTCTTGCCTTGTTTAGCAAGTTTAGGAAGTTTAGCATCATCAGTTTAGATATTGCAGACGAATATACACGATTTGTTCTGCTAACCGCAAATCCCAAAATACTATCAAACCCACGGATGCAGGAATTGTAATTGATTTTGATTATTGGTTGCCTCACGTATACAGACGAGAGGATGCTTAACTGAGAGTGCTGCTCTCTCATGGAGAAAGCGAGAATATTTTAATACGTCAAAGTATCATTACCTTGAATATTTTTCTGACAACAAGGGTAATATTCAAACATCGGAGTTTATTTATACAATCAATGCTGATAATAATGCTGTTTACTACTATAGTAATTTCAATGTAAGTTAAGTTTTCCCACAAACCATGCAGCACAAGCTTATATTTCTTGAATGCTATCTCTAAAGAAAAAAAATTAGGATCTTAAGAAAGCTATAAAGTACGTTCCCCATGAATTTGAAGATTTTGTTGTAGAGATTATAAATTTTTCAGAACAGAATCATTAGAATATGTGTTGATAGTAACGTGTAGGAATGGTTAGTGTCCTAGTAATATATGCTGTAAGTGTTACAATGAACTATGATTTAAAAATGAAACTAAATTTTTTATAAATGAACAATATTATTAAATTGAAAATTACTAGTTCTAACCTAGTTGTACAGATGCAGTATCCAGTCCCTTTCTGAAATAAGCTGTTCGTTTGTTGTCAGTCTGTAGCCAGCAGAGACTGAATATTGAATACATATGAAGACCAAACGGAAGGAAGGCGAAATGTCACAAAGAGTTTAATACGAGAAAATTGAATTATTATCTTTAAAACCCTAAACATTATCATACAATTAAATATTTTGTGTACTTATGTATTTAATTAGTCTTTATAGTTATTGTGTAACGTATTATTTAATCAACGGAATTAAAAAAAAACACAAAGCATAGAAACATTGCTTTATGTAAACACAAGTCACTACAAATACGGGAAAAAAGCGAAATATATGACAACAATTTTTTTTCTGTTCTTCATTTGTCTAGCTTTTATTATTTTCTCTTCATTTTGTTTACATTTTTGTTGTTTTTGTTGTAAGGTAAGTCTCTATACAACGATCTAGCCCTTTCAAATGTGCAAAACTGACTCAAGTGGACCAGCTCGTTAAATTGTTCCTTAGAAATTTTCCTTAGCTCTAAAAAACATCTCTATGAAAAAAGAGAAAAAATGGAAGTGAATTTTTAAAACAAACTCACCTGTATATAATTTTGGTAGTAAAATAAACTGGCTCTCGGGTAGTTGCACCTTATCGGAATTTGTAAATGGTTTGCGTATACTTGACGTCTCCCATTGTCCATTATAGGAATCTCGGTGTTTGAAAAGGCGTGGATGATCTTTCAATATTTTGAGTTCTCCTATTGGTCTTAATTTATATGTTGGTTTTACGCAAATTTGGTCCAAGAATAGTAACCAGTATCTTATAAGAGATTGATCGACCTCTACGACATTGAACGGATTTGGTTTTACTCGACATGATCTAATTTCCGTGTACCAATCCTCAGGAAGTTCAGCCATAATTTTTTGGTTTATCACACCCATATCTCGATCGCACTCCATGTAAGAATGACCTCGTATTGGGAAGGTTACTTTGATTAAGTACAACCTTTTTGCAGTATTAACTGCCCAGTGAAGATAACGGAAAACAGTAAAGTTTTTATTTTGACCGCCACATGAATCACAGAATATGTGGAGGTGACGAACTGACAGATCAAGCTGAACAAAGATAAAATGGTGCAGAAATGACACTACTTCGTTTGAACCCTTGCCTCCTATGGTTTCTGGAAAACAATAAAATGTAGCATTTCCTGTTGACAATACATAAATGTTAAAGGAGTGAAGCGTCAGTTGTCTCTTATAGTAGACGTCGTTGGTCGGAATATTTGGAGTGGATAAATTTTTTTCAAAATCCATATTTTTCTCTTTATTTCATAAAATGCTTCCGCTTTGGATTTGTGTAGGCTATTTGCCAAAGTTATTCGTTTTATCTCAACTTCTATCTTTTATTTTTCACAAGCATCATTTGTTTCATTCAGTTTATCGTGAAGGACCTTAAGGTCAGCCAAGAAATGATCGCAAGCACTACACGCATCACTCAGCGGATAGCCGAAGCTAATGTTCAAATGCTTATTAAAGATTTGTCTATATGTTTCGTAAGACACAGGAGCGCCCTTATGGGATTTGTACATAGTGTACATTTTTTTAATAATTAAGTCATCCGGAAGGTACATTTTCTTAGTTGTATTTTTACTATAATAGCTTCCTCTTCCTTTAAAACGCTTTATGTGTTCAATAACTTCATCTAGCTGTTGTTTTGTTAATGCGTGTTTTTTTGGATTTTTCTGCGTTTGTCAATTGGTGCACTACCAGTAACTTTTAAACTTTTTTTTGAATATTTTCAAGCCTCTTCTAACCAATGCCATGAAGGCTTAGAAAAGCTTTAAAACAAACTGGGACGTCAGTAGTTTTAGCGTCAGTCGTTATTCTATTAACTCTAAAAGAATACGTTAAATCATGCAATCTTGATGTAACTTTATCTCGGGCTCTTCTTTGCTTTACGGGCATTAACGTTATTAGGCCTGCCAAGTAAATATTTTGTTCATCACGCCCCATACGGTTAAAATTGTTTATAATGTTTGATCAGCTTTGTTGATCTACTGTTTTAAAACACTTAAGTCACAAACACTTATATTGACAATCGTCACCTGTTTCATGGCTCTGTTGTCTTAACCGTTTCATTACTTCATTTATTCGACCTGTAATTTTCCTTTTTCTAGTGTTTTTTCGCGACACGTATCATCTCTTTCACTATCCGTCATTTTCGAGCACAATAACACACACTTTATTAATGAAGGCTAATCGAAAACTAAATGTTTTTAGTAAACAAAATGCGGCGTGTACTCCCCCGACGTCCCGATAAGCAGTGACATTCTACCTTTCTCGGATTTACGCGAGGACCATTCGCTTGTTTTCCCTGTACGAAGAATTTTATAACGTGTTTTAAGCTATGAGGATTCGTCTTTTTCCCATGTTTGAATGACTCACATAAAACTATTACTAAATACCTACATATTGCTGCTCTGAACAAAAAATAAAAAATTGACATTTCGCCTTTCTTCCGTGTGGTCTTCATATTAAATGTGCTTTAAGATTTGTAGAGACAGTTTGCTGTGAATGATGTAGAAACTTGGGACATTAAAAAAAAATGTGATTAAGATCACCCAGTTTGCCGCAATGTTTACAATTATTATCGTCTTCAATCACATTTACGGTAAATAAAGGACTTGGGTAACATGCATGTCCAAAGCGTAGTCGATTTATGGTGGTTATATATTTACGTGGAGCTTTAAAACTCTTAAACCAAGTAGTTTGTGGAATAACTGGATGTAAAATGGTAAATCTGTATATCTTGTATGGTTTGAGAAGCAGTAAAGATTCCATTGATCTTTCCATGTCGATAGCTGATTTTTTTTTAATTATAATGGCATCTGATACACATAAATAATATAACAATAAAGTGCCTGGTGTTATATTTGAAGTTATAAAAGATCCCCAAACGAACATTTTAAGTTTTGGTAAATGTTTCTATATTAATTTTTGACCAAGATATTGAACTTTTAATAACGTTCTCTGAGGCGCAAGGTCAGCTCGCAACGAATAAAAACCAATACATAAAACATAAAAAGCTTTAAGGTACAGAGGTGACATACAAGTGTATACTCAACACCCCTGGCGCTTAATATTGGCATAACACATATCAGTAAATGTTTGTGTTTATGCTGTATAGATAGGTTTGAAATTTCTGGATATTACCTGAATATTTGTTGAATACTTAATGGCGATTCGTTTTTGTGCTTAACTTTTTACAGACTTAAAAATAATATGCTGTTTATTTACTTACTTGAGCTCCAAGTGACAGGCATGACAATTTCCATTATTAAATAAATTATTTCGTCGGCTTTCCATTTGAGATACTGGAAGTTTACATCTAGAATGAAACCTTATTAATACCGCAAAAAATCCACAAAACACATACAGAAATTAAAACATAAAAGTTCGAAAATTATATATCTGCCACACCTTCCAGAGCAGAAGACGTCTCAAAATTGGTGATAGGGACCAGCACCAATAGTTGCAATCAATATTAGACCAGGTAACAGAGGAAAAGTTCCATACCAAGAAAAGCATTATAGTGATAATTCGAAATTCCAGAAAAAAGTAATAAGAACCATTGAGAGTAATAAATAAAAACGGAGCATTTGCTTGAAGCGTAAATTAAAAGCAAAAGCAAAAGATAGAAGAAAAAGCGTTTGCTTCGCTTCTACTGAATAATGATTCGCTTTTCCTCCATAGCAAATGCTTCGTTTTTTTAAGACCATTTACTACGTTTTTTAACAAGTCTAAAACTAAAACTAACTAAAACTGTGATTTTTGATTAAATATCAAGAGCTTATATAACTAATAGTTTAGTACCTATTATGCAGTGGGTGATAAAATTATTAGAGCCACCCATACATTTTTAATTTTTGTATTTTGTTTAAAATGGTATGTAATTGAGCTATAAAACATATTTTTGTGAGATTTAGAATCTTAAAAAGTTTATAAATATTAAAAAAGAAACAAGTAATTACATGAAAACACTTAAAATTATGACTTAAGCCTAATAGTAGAGTCATCCTTTGCAGGAATAGCTGCCTGGCACCTTCTTGGCATACTTTCTATGCATATCTGACAATTTTGTGGAATTGTTCCACTCCTGTGCCATTCTGCAATTAGGCGCTCGATCAATTGATGCTTTGTAGTTAAAATTTTATTAGAAATTTCTTATTTATGAGCTTTCAAAGATTTTCTATTGCATTCAGATCTGGCGAGTTGCCAGAAAGGCACTCCTGGGCCTGGGAAAGCATTTTTGCTTGCAGTACTCTTAAGTACTGGTCCTGCCGCATTGTTCCTTCGACAATGTAGAGTATACCAGTTTCTTGACTGCTTATGATAGACCACATCATGTTTAGGGGGTGCTTTACGGTCCATACAATACAATCAGTTTTATCTTTTTCCACAGGTCTTCCCCTTACAAATTCAGCTTTATCCATGAGAATAAAGCTGATAATAATATTATTATTTTAGAATCATGGACAAATTGATCAACTGTAAACTACATAATAGAAAAAAAATGTTATTTACCTGATTCCAATCATCAATGGTAGAATCTTTGTGATTTTAGCCCACGGAAGCCTTTTTTCTTCATGGCTGGTATGAGTAGCAGCTTTTTTGCAAGCGACATGTTAAAAACATCAGATCCTGTATTCGCCGATGAGCTATTCAAAACCTTCAAGGTTTTTTGTGTACCAAGCCAATATTTAAAATTTTTATTTCATCCCATAGCATTGCAATTTTTTTTTTCAACCATATTTTTGTTTGTGCCGTGGTCAGATTATTTATTGTACTTTCATGAAGTGTTACAAAATAATGAAATGGAAACAAACGCATTAATATACTATACAACTTAATTATATACCCTTTTTGTAAAAAAAAATAAATTTTGCTAGTTGGCTCTAATAATTTGATTACCCACTGTAAATGGATTGCGGAAGATGAGGCAAACATATAGCTCAGACGAAGTAAGCACGACGTGTGAAGAGAAAGATCAAGTGAAATTTGTAGTTTCTGCAAAAGTATAAAGTTGTACTAAAAAAATCGCAAGTACGTGTTATAAAAAAGTAAAAGAGAATGGATTAATACGGTTACAAGCGGAATGGCAGGTAGTAAGGAGGAAAGCAATAAGTGTAAAGCAATTATTTAGAAAAGTAAATGACTTAAAAACAAAAATCAAACAGGAAGCAGACATAAATAAAACCGGCAATAAACATATAAAGTTAAAGTCATCGGAACAGACATTTTGGCAGTTAATGAATGATGACAAGAGCCAGGGAAAACATACGTACAGTTTAATTAGAGGACGGTATTAAAACTGTAGAAAGTTTCACATGTTTGGGAGTTGCATTAAACACGGATGGAACAAAATAATTAGAAATTCAAAAAATAACGTGAAACATAAAAGCAAAACAAGTTTATTTTTCACTTGCTCATACGCACATCAAAATAATCTAGGGGACACTTATATTAATAGCTTTAAATCAATGTTAGCTGTGAATACAAAAATAAATTTGTGTTTGTACTCTATTTTGTTGTTTTGTTGATTATTGTACCAACTTGGACGGTAATGCTGATAAGAATGGCTATGAAAAATTTAACAAAACTTCAATATGCGTTTTTTGTGTCTATAAGATAAAAACTAATATTTCTTTATTGGTACTTGATTTTTAATGTCTATGTGAATTTTTATTTAGTTTTGCAATTGTCAATAATAGAGAGATATCATTTAAATCGCGAAATGCAGTGGCGTGCTATCGGGATGCTTGTGGTTAAGATGTTAAAAAACTGGTGATGTTGTTGAACGGCATACAGGCTATACACCAGCCTGTACCTATGCCGTTTTAGTATAACCAACCAGATTGAAGACCGTTTTAAGGTGGCAGGGTGTACTAGATCGCACTGCAACTACCTCACAATTACAAATGGGTTTGCAAAAGACCCATAAGGTGTTTGTAAGTGGCCAAACCATTAGAAATATACTACATAAAGTAGGGTTAAGACCTACTCGAACACCTGTGAGAGTGCCGGTGTTATCCAGAGGAAATTACGTTCATTGATTTTAGTTGGCACAAGAACACATCGATTGGGTTAGTACTTTGTTCGTAGATGAGTCCCGATTTGGATTTGTACCAGATACAAGATGGACAAGAATTTAAAAATGATCTATCAATGCTGAACAATTGGCCACCGTGCAGTAGGTTCATAGACAGCAATGTGGAAGTGTAATGGTATGGGGTAGCATCACTAATAGTGGAAGAACCAATCTCGTTTGTCTGGAACGGTTTCTAAATGTTACAGATTATCGCGATATTATTCTTGAACCTACTATTGTACCCTTTGCATAACAAGCTGATGCCCGATTTTAAATAATGCACGATAATCCGCGCAAGCATACTGCCAGGGTTGTGCGAATATTTATCAAAGGTAATTAAATTAAGGTTTTACCGTGCCCTGCACAATCGCCAGATTTAAATCCAATTAAGCATATATGGGACATATTGGGCAGACGTATTTTACAACAAAATATTGCGTTCAGTACAAGAGAGCAACTATTCAGATAGTTCTAAGAAAAAATGTTTATTTTATATTTGGGACACTTGTTTATTAAAAATATTTGAAATACATAATTTGAAACCCATCTGTAATATCGCATTTTGTTTCTGTTCCTTAGATTACTTTAATGTGATATGTTCCGCTCCAAAAACATACATTGGATATCGAAAATCAGGATCTACAAGACTATTATTAGACCAATAGTATCTTATGGATGATGAATATGGGTGATGACGGAAACTCCAAAAAGAAAGCTGAAAGTCTTTAAAACGAAAGTCCTAAGGAAGATATTTGGACCTATTAATAAAAACGAAGTATGGAAATCTATGTACAACCATGAACTCTGCCAACTGTTCAAAGCGAAACCGATCTTAGAATTCGTTAAACTTCAGAGACTTCGATGAGCTGGTCATGTAATCAGAATGGAGACTGGAAGATTGCCAAAAAGAGCCATATATAGTAAAAGCACTACACAAGACCAAAAGGAAAGGGCACAGGAAAGGTGAAAGGATGAAGTGTCAGAGGATGTGCAAAATTTGCTAGACGTAAGAACTTCGAGAACATCGGCAAGGCTGGAGGCATAGTTTGGAGGAGGCAAAGGCTCTATTTGAGCTGTAGTGTCATTGGAGAGAGATAGAAACCTGACCATGCGTAGAATTTAAGGTAATAATCAAATATTTATTTCAATACAGGATTAAATGCCATTCGATGCGATGAGGTGTCATCGCTGTTAGAGACTGCTGTGATTGCAGAAACTTGAAAAAGTGCGGTATCAAAAAAAAAATCTTTTCTTCCAAAGAAAAGAAAAGTTTCCTCATTCAATTTCGCCTAATATTAATTTTATTGCCCTTATTTTTCTTAATATGGTTATTTGCGTCATTATTAAGCTCCACTTCTTTCAATTCACAGTCTGGATCACTTATTGCTCTTGTAATTTTGTGTAATAAAACGTGGCGCAATACTAATGTTAGTTTAGGGATGTTTCAAGCTTCAATCGAGCCTTATATTTCAGTATGGACAGTATGCAGTTTTCTACGTTCTTACGACTTCACGAACTTTCTCATTAAATGAAAACTTGAATCCAGAGTTTTGCTTTCTGTCAGATTTTCTCTAATACTTCTGCAATTGTTTTTAACACAGTACTTGGGTGAATTCCAATTATTTCTCCTACACTGTTTTGGTAAGTCTGGTTAGCTACATAACGCCAAAACTTTTTCATTTTGTGGAACAGTGATAATGCACCATCTCATATGTTATTATTCACCCCATTAAGGACATTTAAGAAAAGGTTGGCTAAGCAATGCACAATGCATGTTGATACGAAAAACGTTTCTAATATTACATTATACAGAAACCTTATAATCACCACACATATGTTATTTCCCTGGAAGTGAAGTCTGCACTGTAGGTGCTTTCAGAAAAATAAAGCTTTTGCTATAGGTCTTTAGCAAATACATGACTTTATTGATATAATTTAACGTATTTGCTTATGGAGCAGCGAATGCTAGAAACGTGTGTATCATATAGTTTAAATTGTTTGCTACATTAATTTGAACTAAAAGCATTTGCTACGTTTTATACATGAGACTCATTGTCGATGGACCTTGGTATTTGAGAAATAGTAACCTTAATAATTAATAAGATGGTAGAAGTTATGGATTGAGGTAATCTAGCTCCTCGATCATAATGAGCTAACTGTAAGACTGGAACTTCAGTTGGTCTAAGTGTTTGTTAAAGCAGAGCATATTGGTTTTAAGTTCGTGCATGTTATTTAGTTATTTTGTTAGTTTAGATAAAAGTCGCCATAGGGTAAGATTTTAATTGAAATAATCATTAATAATTAACAGTTAATCCACTTACTTGAAATCGATATGACAATTATGACCTTTTTCATCTTTATATAAATTATTTCGTCGATTTTCCATTTGAGATACTGGACGTCTAAATCTAGAAGGTAAATTTAAAAAATAACGCAAATAAGCTATAGCTTGATACCTGACTTGAACTTTATAATTAGAAAGTAATAATTATATTTTGTTTTGATGAGTAAATCTTAATGTAAACTAAAACCGAGCAACATAGTAAAAACAAAAAATCCATCATCAAACAAAAAAGAATACATGAATTGATAAAAAAAACACGTCAACCAAATTTTAAATAAACGACGGTTATTTTCTTCTTCTTCCACTTTTGGTGGAAGTGGTTTGTAGCCTCCATGCAAGCAATGTTTTGTCCATCTGCTGTCTTTCATTCTTGCACCATATCCGGCCCATCTTCATTTTTGCCTGTATTTCCTCCATTTTGTAATATGTTCGGTAATGTCATCCACTTCGGTTCGTCTAATAAATTCTTCGATTCTTATTCTATTTATCAAGCATGCTCCAAACAATGATCTCTCCGTTTTACGTTGTGTCCTTCCCAATTTTTCCGCTGATGTTTTTGTGAGAGTTTCTATAAAGGCTCTGCTCCATATTTGAGGATTGGTAGAATTTACGTTAAAAGATTTCCTTTTAAATAGATTGGGAGTTTTGTTTTAAACACGTCTCTCATTTTTTCTAAATACAGCCCAACCTAAACTTACTCTTCTGAGTACCTCACATGTCTGGTTGTTCAACCCGTTATTACCCAACTTATTTTCAACTCTTTCTACAACTTCTATGGACTATTTCTTGATCTCTATTAGCTCAATGGGGACGAGATTTGTCGTCATTTTTGTTTTCACATAGTTTATCTTTAAACGGACTTTTTGTGTCGTTTGGTTTTTCAGTTGTTACATTTTCGTATACATTTCGAATCATATTCGCATACCTGTGGTCTATTCTGCTTTCGGATAGGGCTTTTAAGATAGCGACTGTTTTCATTGTATCAAATGCTTTGTGGAAGTTTACAAAAATAAAAACCAGGGGTCTATTATATTCGATAGACTTTTCGACTAGAGGTTTACGGCTCTGCAGATGATCATTTGTTCCGTGGCCTGATCGAAACTCTGCTTGTTCTGACTGGTAGAAATTCAGTTTTACTTTCAATCTGTTTGTCAGTATTCAAGTAAAAGATCTTGTATAGGTGCTTGAGTAATCTAATGGGCCTATAGTTTGAATGATCTAATTTATCTCCTTTTTTATGAAAGAGGATTGTTATCGATTTTTTTATTTATTTGGGATGTTTTTGTTATGCAGACATTGATTGAAAAGTATTTGGATTCGTGACATCAGAAGGGGACCTCTTAGTTTCTGAGTGACTACACCATTTTCCCTCGGAGCTCTATTATTTTTCATATTTTTTTTGTAAGATATTTTTGTAAGTTGGAAGATTTTCTTTTTCTCCTCAATGCTTTCATGCTTTTGCTTTCTTCTATAATTTTTATAATTGTATTGTTTGTATTGTTCTTTTATTTCATAATGTCTGGTCTGATAGCTTTAGAGATTTTTTTATTTATGGTTTTTATTTCCCTTACTTTTCCGTTCAGTGCTCTACAATCTTCAATTTTTTGTTTAATTTCTTTGCTCTTTTTCTTTCTTTTTCATGTTTGCGGTCGTGTTTTTCTTGTATCTACTACTTCTTCGTTTAGGTTGTTTACATCCCTTGTTGTTGCACTCCTTGTTGTTGTTGTAGCGTATCCAAAGTTTAATTTTTTCACTTTTTATTATTTTTAGTTTTTGTTGCTTAATATTAATTTCTACAGTTTCCGGACCTTCTATTATAGATCGCTTGTGACAGAAAATTAATTTAATTTAAGAAAATTTTAAGTGTTTTTATCATCTTCTATCGATCTTATTATAGAAAAAGCTATTCATTAGATATAAAATATTTTCCAACAGTAAATTTAAGACTATTTCGCCTCTCTTGTTTCTACCCAGTGTATCAAAATGTTCAAGTACATTTTCAGTTGGATACGTTTTTACTCCTATGTTGGCTTAAAATCGCAAGTTATTTTCATGAAATGTTCGTGGTCTTCTGTAACAGCTATGTAAAAGTCGTCATAAAACTGTCGTATTTCTTCCTCTGTGTGATCCCACGTTGGTGCATGGACTTGAATAATCTTAATGGAGTAACGGGTATTTAGTTGCAATTTTACGAGTATAACTCTTGTAAAGACTGCTTTTACTGATATGATCTTATCGTCCTCTCCGATATGATGACCGGAGAAAATGTGATCGGATTTTAAAACGGTTTATTATTATTATTATTCTTACTATTCTTATTATTATTATTCTTTCTAAGAGCTGCGTTGTATTTGTGGTCATATCTTTATATCTTCATATGGTCATATCTTCATAATATTGACAGACCGTGCTGTATGGCAAGGAGTTCCACCTTGCATGAAAATGAATGATTCCCCATTTGAAGCTGCGGAATTAACCGCCCTTGCAAGACGTCTCTGAACTGGTCTAATGGGTAATGAAATGGTATATGGTAGTATATATGATAATGGGTACTAATGACTAATGACAAATCATCACTTTTGTAAGGTGCTTCACAGTTTGAACAACACAGACATGTTAAAACTTTTTTCCATGACGACGACGCAGACAAACTGAGCTTTGTTCTGCAAAATTTCAAATGTAATTTCATCACTGAAGCAGACCTGGTAATAATAGAAAAAAATGACTGCTGGCTTTTCTGTTAGTTAAATTCATTATTTGTGAAGAAATCATGAACTGACTTATCTCCTGAAGCCCACATCTTTATCACGCCACTGTTTGGCCCCAATTAAGGCGCTGTGCTTTAACTTTGGCTTCCTGGCGAAATGGCCTTAAAACCCAAATCTTTTAATTTTCTTCGAACAGTACAGAACATGTGTATCAGTGCATACACACTGACATCTGTCTTCCATGAAAATTTTGGCAAAATCCTTTAAAGACCTTTCTAACGGAGTGAAAATAGGCTTTTTCCGTATTTTTTCTTTTGTTTTGGACTGGATTCTTTCCCTGATTAAATCTTCTTCTTTACGATTCGTATATTAGCTTCAGAAGCCTTCATTATTCGTGATATTTTGCGGTTTAAAAATATACTTGTATTCACGAGAGCCTTCACTTCAGCTCTTTTGCCTAATGAAAGATAGATTATCCATGATGAAAGCTTATAATATTATTTAAATTCTACATATGAAACAAACAAATATCTGCGTAATATAAAACTGCTAAATAAACAAGCATCCACGGTGTTTGCTACAGAGACACGTCGGCAACTGAAGCACTCGCGAACGCAATGGGAGCAGGTTTACATTTGTTTTACGTTCCGGTAAAAATTGAATACCACTACCACAGTATTGCTATATGTGACAAATAAATACAAATACGAAATATTTAATAGATTTCGCGAATAAAAATTCATTTTATGTATTTTTGTATGTGAAAGCACTGCATATAAACTGGTGTAAAACAATAAATTATTAAAAACGGGGATGCATAATTGTACAGTTACCTCACTCACCTGAGGTCTAAAAGACCAGTGTGACCGTTTTCAATTTTACACAAATTATTTCGCCGATTTTCCATTTGAGATACTGGTCGTCTGCATCTAGAATATAAATTTAAGAAATAATTCAAATATAACACAGTTCGTTTATTCCATTTAGTTCGTAATTATAAGTAGCTATTATACCAAGCATTATTATTGTTCAGTAAATACAATTTTAAAATACAAATTTACTATTTTTATTGGAAATAAGCCACAATTTTACTTTAAAATAAGTTTATTTTGACGCTTAGATTTCCACTTCGGAACTCGATACCAAAATACAAAACATTAATAAATCATACAAATTTTGTTTTTGTTACATGGTAAAAAAATTCTTCTAATCAGAAAGTGCTTCAATGGCTTTTGTATCAAATTTGCTGAGTTTCGATATATGGTAGATATAAGATGAAAGATGTATAGATACAAGATAACATCGCTTGGTGTTTAAAGTATACTTGTTTGCCAGAATTATCCTCCATTTTATTTCTTCTCTGATAAAGTTTTTATTATGATTAATACTTCTGGCTCAGTTGTTAGTATTCATGCCATTACTTGATTTATTTTCCCATTTATTTGCAAGCCCAAAGCAGTTTTTTAAGCTTTTGAAGCAGTTAAATAAGTAAAAAAAAATCTTTGAATCTTTTTGTGTTGTCCCGTTAAATTCCATATTAAACAGGAGACACTCAACGTATCTTCCTGTCATAATTGGATATGAGTCCAAAACTTTTGTGAACGTATGTTCACGTGTATTGTTCTTTGCATATAACTTTACGCTCTTGTAACCTTCACCAGACTTATTAGCCTTAATACGCTAATATGAGGTGACTTAAAATTAATTTTAAGAATCGACATAAAATTTAATTATTGTTTCTAGTATTTGTCGTAGCACAAAAATCGAGCGTTCTACTAGGTTTTAAGCCACTTTAATACTAGCTATGCAGCTTCATGTTTTTTTTCTAGTGACTATCCGTTATCGAATGATTTTAGTAATTCTAGCAATAATAATTTTATTAGTTGCCGCTCTGAATAGTCCCGTGGTAGATTTTGCAAACCAGGTTCTTAAGTACTTTAGTCATAAAATATATTTTCTGTCAACGTCTCTCTTACCCTGAACTTTTCCTTGCAGAATGCATTTATTAATATATGTTTTATTTAATTTAGTTTTCATTTCTCATTGATTGTATGTCGTAAATATTTCAAATTTCTGCGTTTAACTATGTACGTCAATTTTCTCTTTATTAAGTTTTCACATACACATATCAAAAGATTCCAGCCTCTTGTTGCCAGTCCAAGGTCCAAGACTCTAATCTGTATAACAATATGGAGAATATGTAGCATTGAAGCATCCTCAGTTTAAATTTCAAATTCAAATAGTGTTTTTTAAATAATTTGGGCATTTGGATGAAAAAGCTGCACTGGCTTTTCAATCTTTGATTTCATTTCCTGGGAATGGTCCTAATATTCATTTAATACTGTACCCATATATATATATATATATATATATATATATATATATATATATATATATATATATATATATATATATATATATATATATATATTATTGTGATATTTAAAGTCTTGGTGCGCCAAGCAAAATTAGCTAATTAATTAATTGATTAATTAAAATTATTTAAATGATATGATTATGACTCTATCACACTTTTTAATTCTTTTTTCTCAGGGTTGAATTCGTGCTTCAATATCTATGCTATTACATGTGAAAGGTAAGGTCCAAAGAATACCGGAATAATAAAAAACACATATGATATAACACTATATTGAAATAAAAATAATGAAATAATTCACACTCAAAAGTTTTCAATAAACAAAACAAAATCTCATATAATGATTCTCAAAATTTTGTTCTACGTACGTGAACAATCAAAATTAATGGTACAAACAATATTAATTGAAATCTCAAAATCCCAAACTATTCTAACTCTCCTAATCAAAATATTTATATCCTTTCTTAATTAAGTGTAAAAATTGTGTTATCAATAAAAGAAAAAACTGCAGAAAACAAAAATATCTCTCTCTGATGATGAGTGGTCCAAATCCTTGTTCCTTGTAGACTTTATTATCTCCTCTCAACCGCTCCCTATGTAATCAGCAATCTTACAACAAATTGTTGCAAGTATATCGTCCTTAATGATCTCCTTCAAAAGCACAAATCATTCAAATTATGATAACCTTTCTCCTCTCGATTAACTGAATCTCTCGTTGGCCCGAGTGAAAAATGACTCTTGGAATATCTCCTCTTTACGATAAACTGAATCTCTCGTTGGCCTAAACAGTGACTCTTGGAATATAAGTAGAAAAATATGACTTACAATATTTTGCTGCTTCAGCTTCTGTCAGATACACTAACCCCACAAAAACTCACTAACATTCAACACTACTGCTTGCTACTTCTCGGGAACCGCCAGAGAACAATCACTGTTCGTCTTACAGACTTGGAAAACCAACTGACTATCTTTTCTCATTCCAAAATCTAGCTAAACTTTCATTCCTACATACCTATCCCACCTTTTTCAATCTCTGCCAATCAAAGCTCGTCACAATTCCCCAATTTTTCATTTCGATAACACACAAATTTTTACCTATAATTATAAAAATTTCCTAAAACTTGTTTACAAATAATATTTTTTTACAATTCTTAAAACTAACAAAAACCTCTTTCTAAAATCTATTCTATTGTCTGTCCTTAATCACTGCCTTAATGTATTTGGAAAAACCCGGTTCAATTGTCTTTGGATTTCACTTAAAATTATGCGGGTCACTCAAGTATAGTATAACAAAGGAAATAATTTATGCATAGCTTACATTTTGTATATATATATATATATATATATATATATATATATATATGGCTACAGTACAGTACAGTATATATATATATATATATATATATATATATATATATATATATATATATACATATATATATATTTTTGACACTTTTTCCACCATTTTCTTATTGACGGTACATTTTGCTTACCATAAATTTTTCGTACATTGAATTATAAAGAATTATTTCTCTATATAAAAGTGGAATATGAAAAAAAAAAAATGATTATACTAAACGAATAAAAACTATAATACCTGCTTTTGTTTTTTAACGAGTTTATATTTGCGTTTTGAATTCTAGAAGACTCTTTTCTGCTGCTGGGCCTACTATGAGGTAACACTGAAGGCATTTTGGAAAAAATATCAAATTGTTTATTAAATGGGCAAACGAATTGCCGAATTTGGGCACTATTCATTTTTGCCAGTAACTTTCCTAACAATTCAGGTCTGTCGATCATAGATACATCTTCACTAAATACCTTCTCAAAGGCTAATATAATCGATTCATCTGCATCCATATTTACAAAATTTGTTGGTTTGCATCCCATATCAAACGCATCTAACTTAGTTTTATACAAACAATGCTTATTCAATAAATCTTCTCCCTAAAAATAAAAAAAAATTTAAAACAATTTTTGATATTTTTTTAACCCTTATACGAGCAAGACTTTTATTTAGCAAATGGACATAACAGTCTCACTGGATCCACTGTTTTAAGTGCAGTCATATGTATATTTTGAATGCTTTTTATTATTAACCTTCCGTCGAGCGCGGCTGTTCAAATTGATACAACACAAATGTTTTGTGCCAGTACATGTGGTTCATAAACTGTCGGGGATTGTCGTCACCAGTAGCTCCTACCTCGCATTATTCTACAGAAAGTGATCGGTAATTAGTAAATATTCTTCGCTAGAATGAAGATATTTGAATATTGTTCATTTCTATATACGGTGCCTCTTAGTGTAACAAAATTAATTTTGCAAATTAGTCACATTTATTAGTGTGGTAAGTACTATTTCTTTTTACTACTACTACCTTTTCATTCTGTTATTTAAAATTACATAATTATACTTACACTTACTTCATAAATGTCAAACTGATTCACAACGCCTGGTTGGAAATTTTTTTGTAAATTAATTTTTATTTGTTTTAGATCAGAAATACGCTTATCATGGTAAGTTGTATTAAAAAATATAACTTAGAGGATGAAAAAGATCTTAAAAACTACAAAGATTGATGTTTGACGACGACGAAGGTAATTCACTGGACGATTTTGATGTTGAAGTGGATACTGATGCAGAATATGAAGTCGAACCTCATGACTGCGATTCAGATACCGAGCAAGAAACTAGTGACAATGATGATTACGATGGATCTAATGCAGTTGATAACAACTTTTTTTGTAAGAGAGTGATAACAACTTTTTTTGTAAGAGAGAAAAGTGAAGGAAAGAAGCTCTTAGAAAAAACAAAATGGAATAAAAATCTCCTATCACAAAGCGTTCGTCCAAAACAAATAATCTTATTCGCAAGTTACCAGATGTAATAGGTGCTGCAAGAATGGCAAAAACTCCTTTGAAATGCTGGAGTTAAAACCAATATATTTAAAGTGTGAAATCGCTCTTCAAACGTGATAGAGATACCAAGCCTATAGACATTGTTGAAATAAAAGCCTTTATAGGTCTTGTAACCTCGGAAATCTTTTTTGGGTGGTGCTAGAAAGATAACCAATGGAGACACTGCGGACGGCAGCCAGATGGTTGGTGGAGAACGAGTCGTGGGTTCGAAACTAGCTTTTGGAACCGGAAATGGATCCAACGGAAGAAATAGGTAAAGATAGGATAAGAGATATTAGAAAAGATACAGAAATAAACAAAAAGATAGATGGGTAAAATTACCAAAGATAAGAGAAGATAGAAACAGGGCGCCACTCACTTTTTTGGGGTTAAGGAGAAAATTAAGAAAACCTTAGAAAAGAAAAGAGATAAGAATAGATATTTAGGTTCAGAGATCAAACCCAAGGAAAGATACCAACAGTAAATTATCAAATAAATCTGGTCAACGCAATATATAAACAAATAATAAATATGTTAAGTATTACACTTACTTACCTACGAAACTTAATCAGCCTGATCTTTCTACAGTTCAAAAGCATAGTAATATTTAAAGATAGTAATTGTTCAAAGCTATTATTTTATCAGGGAACTTGTTAGGAGCCGAAAAATAAAATACATGCATAAAACAATAACAATATATTAAACACAAAATTATGATTCTGCTAAATGCAACACAAGTAATAAAAATACACAACTATGAAATGGTGTTATATATGTATAAAATTAAGCAATAATGTAATAAGAAAATACCTTTACCAAGATATATAAGGCAATCATATACAAATATAGTTTGGCGTATCTCGAGATATCATAGGAAAGATAATGAACAAAAATTATGGGAAATACAAAAGATAGCAAAAATTACTTAACTCTAAATGTACAAAAATACAAAAAGGTTACAGAAATAAAAACATAAACCAAACCGCACTTGGTTAAGTCAATTAACTATCTCGCACTATTATTTAATAAAAAACTGAGACTTGTATGTTCATAGGTAATATTTATAGAAATTTCTTGAATGGTTCAATTACATTCAAAAATCGGCAATCTACAGGTGAAGATATAGATGATACGTCCAGATAATGGCAGGTGATATGGTACCATACCATATTACTCGCCCAGATAATTGTAGATAAAGATTACTTACAGTAGATCTTGACGAAGGCAGCTTAATTCACTGAATTTAATACTTTTCTGGTACTAAACACTGAATTTAATAACCATTAAAGGTAGTGTAGAACTATATATAATTTAATATAGTCTAAGGAAAGAAAACTCAAATATAAAGTGTATACACACTTAGAAAATAATTCACAAAGACGATACGATAAGAAATAAAGTGAGCAAAGCGTAACACGAGATATTGGCCTTAACTCAACAACGGCCCACCAGAAAGTCTCACGAGATATTACCTCACTCAACAACTGCCCACCAACAAGTAAGTTGGTTTCACTAAAAATTTCACCAACTGTCCCTGAAAAAGGAAGAAGAAAATATTCCCCCACTCAAGAATGATAGGACAGTTGTATGTGTTTCTCAGAAGGTAAGGCCTTAACGACTATTGGAAAGATTGAGGTCAAATAATCGGTATTAACAATTGGACATAAGAAACATACAATACTTGGGATTAAGTTATTGTCAAAAGATATGGGCCTTCGACGAAAATTACCAATTTATGAAAAGGAAACTGCATACCGGAAAGCATTTGTTCTTTTCATACAGAGTATTAAGACGGAAGGATTAAAAACCTTTCTTAATTAGGGAATTCCATTTTAGCTTGGTATCTACAATCTTATTTCCTATCGTAAACACGGGGATTCCTAATCATCGGCGTATCGCACGGGGGTAAAAGGAATTAAAAATAATTTAATATATTAACAATAAAAAAAATGTTACAGTCTCTTATACTTTGCTGGTGTTCACAAAGGTAACAGACAGAGGGTAGAAGACCTGTGGGGATCCAACACGGATGGTATTGAAAAATTTCGCCTTATCATGAACATCAAAAGATGTTCATTGATAATTATGCATCACAGATGATCATTATGCGTTGTATGCGATTTGATAAAAACAACAAAATTGAAGCAATTCGTTCCATTTTTACAATGCTAGTGAACAATTTACAAAAATTCTATAGTTTAGGACACAACGTTACGATTGATGATAAATTGGAAGGCTTTCGTGGACGACGCAGTTTTGTGCAGTACATGCCGCATAAACCTAGTAAATATAGTGTGAAAACCTACGAATTTCTGGATTCCCAGGATTATTATCTATGCAATTTGGAAATATAACTATGCAGAATTACAACCCGAAGGACCATTTCGATTGAGCAATTCACAATCGGATGTTGTTCTGTGACTTTGCCAACTAATTTATCAGGCGAAATATTACTACTAATATCTGGTTAAGCCAGTATTCCATTGAAAGATGAGTTTGGACGTAAAAACCTTTCTTACGTTGGCAAGTTGAAAAAAAAAATAAAGTCGAAATTTCACCTGAATTCCTTCCAAATAAATAAAACAAGAGCTAATAGCTTGTTTGCCTTCAAAAATTGATGCATTCTGGTTTCTTACGTTCCCAAAAAAGGAAAATGTCTAATTTGATTTCAAGTCTACATGAAGATTCCTCTATTGAGAAATAGAGGTTCCTCTTGAAACAGGAGATAAAAAGAAGCCAGCTATTATCACCTTTTACAATCGCACCAAAGGCCGAATTAACACAACATATACATTGTGTGTATCATACAACGTAGCTAGAGACTAACGATGTTACTCGAAGAAAAAAAATTTTGAAACATTTGTCACATGAATTTTTACCCCATATGCTTCGACCATCATCCGACCATAAGTTCAGAATCATCAGGAATTTATATCGGCCTGCAACCACGTCTAAAAGAATTGGCCCCATTACAACAAGGAGAACAGAAAATGAACATGTCGGAAAACGCAAGAGATATCATACATGCATTGAACAAACACGTTTGACTAAGTATAACTCCAAAAAATGTAAGAAACCCATTTGTCTGTCCTTATCTGTATAAGTTATCTGTATGTTGTAACACTTCTGAGTTTAGAGTTGTGGCTAAGGGGCTATCACATAAAGTCAATCAAGAGCAGAGTGATTCCCGTGATTGCATTAAAAAGTTGATACGTTCAGAGCATTTTTTAATTTTTCATCCCTCTTATCTGTAGTTAGACATCCCCAAGAAGTACTTTGAGAGTCCCTAAAATAATTCTAGGTTTAGAAATTTGATCGATTAATCTATCAAGTTCTCTTGAAATACGATATATGTTTACATAAATTAATAATTATACATAAGAATATAAATATTTTATATAAGTAGACCTGTGTCGAATATTTGACTTGTACTGCTGCAGTTTGTGAAGTAATCTCCTCTGATTCTAAGCTGAAATCAACTTAACACTCCGCCACTGGCTTTGCGGGAGCAGTTTCTGATTTTGGGATAAGTATCAAAATGTTTCAAACTGTATTTTTTATCTGTAAAATTTGTTTCTTGTAAACAAATAACTAGGGTTTTTTTTTGTTTTATCTTTTAGTGTGATAGTTTAAGAAAATTTTATAATGGAAGCCGAGAAGAAGACCCTGAACAAGATGGTAGGATGACGTGAAAGATGACCTGAAAACTATGAATGTAAAAAAATGGATGAGAAGAGCGCAAGAAAGGTCTGAATGGAACGATATAGCAACACAGGCAAAGAATAAGAAAAATAATTTTTTAGTAGATCATCTCTTCAATTATTATTGCTCTACTTTCTTACTTAATACCCTTAGTTGTGTTTTTTATGTATTTCATTTCATTCTCACCTATTTACAACTAGTTCGGATTTTTTGCTTGGATTTCTTTACTGTATTTTATTTGTATTAGGATATCTGCACACCGTAATTTAATTGTTTTCTCTATATTTCCTTTTGAACATTTTACTTACTTTTACTTTTTGGATATAACTTTTTTCAGGTTTTGAGTCA